AATCCTACTTCCGTAGTGATACTGCCTCGGAAACCCAAGGAGGGGTCGCTATGAGTCAGGGCTGACTCGACGGCACATAACAACAACAACAACAACAACTTAAGCAAACTGTGGTGTTGCTGACTGAGATAGGAAAGAATGAAGGGGTATAGGTCGGGGGGAGAAGAGGAGATCAGATTAAGTCTGAAATAATCATTAGACATCTTGATAGAGATGGCATGAAGCCTGGAGGATATACTGGTTTGAAATGTTATCCAGATGTTGGGGACAGAGATATAAATTGAGAACCTGGGGCTCTTTAATGTCCCTGGGTGGTATAAATGGTTTGTACTTGTGCTGAACTACTTACCTAAAGTGTGGTGATTCAAAACCACCCAATGGTCCAATACATGTGGTTGCCATGAATTGACTTGATGGGCAACATGGTTTGGTTTTGGGTTTGAGGCCTCTCTAACAGTTACAGATGAGGAAGAGAAGGGGCAGCTTGCAAGGGAAATTGGGAAAAGCCTTCATTAAGCTAAGTAGAACAATTGGAGAACACGTTGTCTCAGATGTGAAATAAGAGAAGGGTTTTAAGAATGTGAGAGTGAATATCTGTGGCAAACACTGTCAATGAGTCATATTATATAAGCTCTATGAATTTACTAATGGTTTTGACAAGGGACACCTTGAAGCTGACCCTGATAAGAATGGTTTTGAATTGGATGATGGAAACAAAGTGACCATTAAAGCAAGTTTAAAAGAGAATCTGATCCAGTGACTTCCTTGTATAAACTTTGTTGTTGTTAGTTACTGTGGAATTGAGGAAGGTTGAAATGGAAGGCTGAATGGGCCCCTTACTGAAAACTATAAAACCTTCATAAGCTAACAGGCATGATTAACGTCAACTTTAATCTTAGTGACTAACTAGCTGTTTTCCCCTTGCCCCCCCCCCATTTATCATTTTCTTTCAAGTGAATAGTATGGACACTTTGTCTATGGACACTGAGTTCTTTAGATTTATTATTCCCAATTATGTATTATTTGAAGCATAACTTTTCCCCCCAATTAGTTGTAGCTGAGAACCATAGCCCGCCTATACTTTCTTTCTCCTGCTATAAAGTATCCTTTAATTTAGCAAAGCCTTACTAGAGCATACTCTGTGGAGTCACAGGAATTCTATCAATTATTCAACCTGTGTAATGACTGCATTCCTCAACAGAGAAATATTTGTGGGAATCTCCTCCAGTTGAGCTGTAATCATGGCAGTGAGATGTTATAAGGACCTGATCACTCTTATTTTTACCTGAAGAAACTAAGTTCACAATGATTAAGTAAATTCAGGTTCCCTTCTTGTAATTGCTTGAAGGTAGGCCTGGTGTAAGCATTTCCTGTGACCTGTTGCATATGTCACATGTTATCTGTGTGTCAGAGCAGATTTTGGGGTCCTTGAACTGAACTGGGCTTCAGTGAGGATGAGGCGAAGAGATCCTTACCTAGGAACAATACCCAAGATGTTAACAAGGGCTCTTGAGTGGCAGAAGGTGTCAGTGGCAAAAGACAACACCAAGAAGGCCGTGGTGTTGCTGGTGCTGGATCTGACCTAGTACAGGAGCACTATGAGGAAAGAGGGAAGGAGAACTTCTGGGGGGAGGACAGACACAGAGCGAACAGGTGGCTTCCCTGAGTGTTCATGTCCACCCTTATAACAGGCTCATTTCTTACCCAGGACAGAGAAGAGTTTCCTTGTGGTGATGAGCTTAAGAAATTTTCTGGAGAGAAGAAAATCTGCCAACAGACCAGTGAAGATCATCCAGATGAAAGCAGACATATATGGCAGGGCAGATAGGATCCCACTCTGAGGACCAGATGGCGCAGACTGGTACCTGGACCAATTGTCTGCATCTATGGGTTTTCTCTATATACTTATCATTATTCATATAAGTCATTGTTATTGGACTGAGTAGATATAATTTTAGTGCCTGGAGTAACATATGCATATGATTCATTTAGCAGAAGAGGACTAGTGCAATTTTCATATATAAAGATCACCTGGAAATAGATATTTAAAAGACCAAAGTCAAGTAAAAAATAGGCAAAGTTATGAACAATTTAAGTGGTTACTAAATATATTAAGTAGTACTCAATCTTACGTATGATACCAAAGATAAATAAATAAATAAACAGACAAATGAAATTCATTGTGTCATAACAGGAAACCAAATAAAAGCCAAACTCACTGCCGTCGAGTCAGTCCTGACTCACAGTGACCTCTCCTTGGGTTTCCAAGGCAGTATCTCTACAGAACTCACATCTATATGTCACCACAGTAGGACAAACCGACAGACAAGTTTGTCCTGCTGTTGGAGACCTCTCGTGTCACCCCCACCTGGCTGACTGTTCCTCTGTCTGGCTTCCTGGCTTTTAATCCCCTCTCTCCTGCTCTTCTGGCCTGCTTCTTCGGGCGTCCCTGAGTTGTCTCTCCTCACCTGTATCCCTGGGGCTGACTGCTCTTCTGTCCAGGTTCAAGGCTTTTATCCCCTTTCTCCTGCTCTTCCGGCCTGCTACTCTGGGTGGGCCTGAGTTTCCCCTCCTCACCTAATCCCTTCGGCTGATTGCTCTTTTGTCCAGGTTCAAGGCTTTTATCCCCTTCCCTGCTCTTCCGGCCTGCTACTCTGGTGTCCCTGCGTTGTCTCTCCTCACCTGTAAGCCTGGGGCTGGCTGCTCTTCTGTCCGGGTTCAAGGCTTTTATCCCCTTTCTCCTGCTCTTCCGGCCTGCTACTCTGGGTGGGCCTGAGTTTCCCCTCCTCACCTAATCCCTTCGGCTGATTGCTCTTCTGTCCGGGTTCAAGGCTTTTATCCCCTTCCCTGCTCTTCCGGCCTGCTACTCTGGTGTCCCTGCGTTGTCTCTCCTCACCTGTAAGCCTGGGGCTGGCTGCTCTTCTGTCCGGGTTCAAGGCTTTTATCCCCTTCCCTGGTCTTCGGGCCTGCTACTCTGGTGTCCCTGCATTGTCAACTGACTGGAAGAGATACATATTTGTGCCCATTCCAAAGAAAGGTGATCCCACAGAATGTGGAAATTATAGAACAATATCATTAATATCGCACACAAGTAAGATCTTACTGAAGTAATTCAGAAACGTTTGCAGCAGTATATTGACAGAGAACTTCCAGAGGTTCAAGCCGGATTCAGAAGAGGACGTGAAACAAGGGATATCATAGCTGTTGTCAGATGGATCTTGGCTCAAGGCAAAGAATACCAGAAAGATGTTTACTTGTGTTTTATTGACTATGCAAAGGCATTTGATTGTGTGGATCATGACAAATTATGGATAACATTGAGAAGAATGGGAATTCCCGAACACTTGATTGTACTGTACCTTGACCAGGAGGCTGTCATTCGAACAGAACAAGGGGACACTACATGGTTTAAAATCAAGAAGGGAGTGCGTCAGGGTTGTATTCTTTCTCCACACTTATTCAATCTATATGCTGAGCAAATAATCTGAGAAGCTGGACTGTATGAAGAAAAACGTGGTATCAGGATTGGAGGAAGAATCATTAACAATCTGAGATATGCAGACGATACAACTTTGCTTGCTGAAAGTGAGGATGACTTAAGGCACCTACTGATGAAGGTTGAAGAATACAGTCTGCAATATGGATTACGTCTCAATATAAAGAAAACAAAAATCCTCACAACTGGACCAATGAGCAGCATCACAATAAATGGAGAGAAGATTGAGGTTGTCAAGGAATTCACGTTGCTTGGTTCTACAATCGATGGCAACAGAAGCAGCAGTCAGGACATTAGACGATGTGTAGCATTGGGAAAGTCAACTGTGAAGGAACTGTTTCAAGTGCTGAGCAGCAAGGATATCTCCTTGAGGACTCAGGTGTGCCTGACACAAGCCATGATATTTCCAATCGCCTCATATGCATGTGAGAGCTGGACAATGAATAAGGAAGACTGAAGAAGAGTTGATGTTTTTGAGTTGTGGTGCTGGCGAAGAATGCTGAAAGTACCATGGACTGCTAAAAGAACTAACAGATCTGTCCTGGAGGAAGTGCAGCCAGAATGCTCCTTGGAAGCAAGAATGGCCAGACTTCGTCTCACCTATTTTGGTCATGTTGTAAGAAGGGACCATTCCCTGGAGAAGGATGTCATGCTTGGTAGGGTGGAGGGTCGACAAAAGAGGGGGAGGCCTTCAACGAGATGGATTGATACAGTGGCTGTGATGATGAGCTCAAGTATAGCAGGGCTTGTGGGGCTGACACGGGATCAGGCAGTGTTTCGTTCTGCTGTGCATGGGGTTGCTATGAATCGGAAATGACTCGATGGCACTTAACAACAACAACAATAACAACATCTCTACAGAAGTAGATTGCCTGATCTTTCTTCCAAGGAGTGGCTGGTGGGTTTGAACTGCCAGCCTTCTGGTTAGCAGTCAAATGCCTTAGGTGCTATGCCACATAGGTCCCTTAAAAGGATGGCATTCTATCAATACCAGATGACCTCAACCTGTACTGTCCTTTCCTAAGAAGGAGCAAGTCATACTGAGATGAATAACAATTCAAGTTAGCCCATTTGTATTACACAAAGATCCTTGACCTTAAGCCCTTGATATTGTCACCACAGAAAAGACACTGTTCTGGTTACCTAGTGCTGCTCTGACAAGAAATATACCACAAATGGGATGGCCTTAACAAACAGCAGTTTATTCTTACAATTTGGAGGCTTTAAGTCCAAGTTCAAAGTGCCAGGCTCTAGGGGTTGGGTAAAAGCCCCTCAACCTTGGGGTTCAGCTCTGTCTCCTGCTCCCAGCCCACTGGAGCTAGAGGCTTTTCTTCACTCAGACAGCTGCTGGCTGCTGAGACTGACAAACCCAAGGTTGACAAGTAAAAAGTCACAGTCCCGATGTTACCAAACCACATGGCAGGCCATTAATTTAAGTCCATTGAATGTCCCAAGGTTGGCAGGCTGCTGAACAACGACATGGCTATACGTAGGGTTCAAACCCACCAGCCACTCTTTGGAAGGAAGATTTCAAAGTTCATTATTATGTGCAACTGATTACTCAGAAAACTTCAAGACATGAACTGAAGTTAATCTTCAGCAAAGAAATTTTCTCCAATGCATACATTAATAAAATGATGAGAAACTCAACCTTATTCAAAATATCGCTGACTTTTAAATTACCACTTTAGGATCTCAAGAAAGTATATAGAGGCCTGAATCTCAGTTGTTGGCCTCCTGTTCACACATTTCTTTTAAATGTCACTGAGCAAAACCCAAACAGCAGGTAGTATGCTTTGTTGTTGTTGTTATGTGCCGTCGAGTCAAACCTGACTCATAGCGACCCCCCTTGGGTTTACGAGGCAGTATCTCTATGGAAGTAGATTGCCCAACCTTCCTTCTGAGGAGTGCCTGGTGGGTTTGAACCACCATCCTTCTGGTTAGCAGTCAAATGCCTTAGTCACTACACTACCAGAGCTCTTTAGGTATTATGCTACATTTTGAAAATATAAATCTTCAAAGACATTATTGAAAATTTAATTTTCAATGAGTTTAAATCTAAGAAGAGAAGAATAGATATTATAAACAGATATTTAAAATGCTGCACATTGGAGCTGGAATATTTTAGTGCTCATTCAACAAATACTTAATGATTTCTTACTACATATGCTGCTTATTGTTTCTTAAAACCATAACCACAGCAAGCCTTTCTCTGTGCTTGAATACTACTTGTCATGTGTCCCTCTGAACTTTCTGTGGATAGTTTTGGAAGGTAGATATGATGTAGTACTCAAATTTTGCATATTTTTTTCTGTGACTATGTTGACCTGGGATTAAAGGAACACTGGATATAAGAGGACTAGTCACCCTAGTGATACTGCTCGTCAGCCCCTGCAGCTGCATGAGTTGGGAAAAGCCTCCAGCTTGAAGTTTGATCCAAGAACTTGGGACTTGCCAGCTTCTATAAGTGTGTGAGCCATTTTCCTAACATAAATTTCTCTCTCTCTCTATATATATATAAGCTTTACTTAATATACTGTTAAGATTTTTCCATATCTTAACACCAGTAAAGCCTAACACACACTCATATGTAGAAAACCTCTGGGTACCTGTGCTATGAGTCAGTACCTGTGCTATGAGTCAGATCCAACTTGTTGGCAGGGAGAGTCACTAATGAAAACATTAGAGCCACTTACACCAAGGAATCAGGCAATTTGCAGATGGGATTTCAAATAGAATGTTTCCAAATCAAACAAACATAAATCATAGGTGAGAGCAACTGGGAAGATTCCAATTAGGGCTGTTGTTGTTGTGTGCCGTCTAGTTGGACCCGACTCATAGCGACCCCTCCTTGGTTTCCAAGGCAGTATCACTATGGAAGTAGATTGCCCCATCTTCCTTCCGAGGAGTGGCTGGTGGGTATGAACTGCCAGCCTTCTGGTTAGCAGTCAAGTGCCTTAGGCACTACGCTACCAGAGCTTCAGATAAAGGTAAGATTGTGAATAGTGGAATATTGTCTCAGGAATACTCCACATGTCTTTTGAAAAATTTTTGTATCATCTCTCTGGGTAATAGTCTTACTTCTGATTCTGGTATGGGCCTGCTCTGTCCTGTGGCTTCTACTAGTTTATTCTCCATACCCTACAATCAGTATTTTACCACAGATTAGGATACATTCCTACAATATTCTGGTTATTATAATAATTGAAGAAATTAAAAGAAGGTATTACATGAATGAGTATGGTTTAAAGTATAATCCCTTCAAGATAACATTTTCCATATCTTAAGAAAAAAATTATTCTGTGTCCTTATGGGTTCAATTCAGAACCTGG